GTTAAAGTGTACATATGAAAATATATGAAACTAGACCTATTTTTATCGAAAAAAAAGAGGTCAAAATTTTTTGAGATTTTTTTTTAATTTTTTATAGAATTTTTATTCTTTTAATTACTTATTATAAAGAAAACGTAATAACTTTTAAACTAAGAGGTATATCCTGAAAAAATAAAATCAGTAATAATGCTAAATAACAGGCAATACTAAAAAAATACATAAAATACACAAAAAAAGGTTAACAAATAATAAAAAATGATATTTTTTGCAAAAAATCTGCTTTTAATTTCGTGTTTTTTTGGTTATTTGATAAATTTCTCCAAAAAATGTCCCCATAACAGGTGGTTTTTATTACTTTGTATTATTCTCTATCGTATTACCTTGTAAGACCAAAAATCGCATGTCTATATCCCTATCACAACGTTTGCAATGATCGTTTGAACAAAGGCCTGCCACAACATTATTCTCCGCTACAGGTAGAGACAATTATAATTTTGACTAAAATGCTTATTTTACTTCGAAATCTTTTGTGTTTATTTGAAATCTAACTTGGAGAGGCTTAGTTCAAACGATCATTGCAAACGTTGTGATAGGGATAGAGACATGCGATTTTTCGTTTTACGAAGGTAATACGATAGAGAATAATACAAAGTAATAAAAACTACCGGTTATAGGGGCATTTTTTGGAGAAATTTATCAAATAACCAAAAACCACGAATTTTTAAGCGGATTTTTTTCAAAAAGTATAATTTTTTTATTATTTGTTGGCCTTTCTTGTGTATTTTATGTATTTTTTTAGTATTGCCTGTTATTTAGCATTATAACTGTTTTTATTTTATCAAGATATACCGCTTAGTTTAAAAGTTATTATGTTTTCTTTACAATAAGTAATTGGAAGAAAAAAAATTCTATAAAAAATTAAAAAAAAATCTCAAAAATTTTTTGACCTCTTTTTTGTCGATAAAAATAGGTCTAGTTTCATCTATTTTCATATGTACACTTTAACGTGACTCACACTGTATAGATAAAATAAATTTTTTACAGTTTAATAAAAGTTGTGTTAGGCCCAGAACAGACGGTGAAACGCAACTGCAACGAAACTGCAACTGCTAGGTACTTTTGAGTTGCATCTAAGTTTCTGCCATAGCGTCCGTTGAAAGACCACACATGACGCGACCAGTTTGAAAGTTTCAGGGCCTTAGTCTTTTGGAAAAAAAGAAAAATCTTCAACGGTTTACTTTTATTGTTTTCATATTAGTTCATTATTAGCAAGTCAGTCTCATGTATTTACACCGTCCGTTCGTTTAACAAAGGCCTTAAATACTTTGAGACCAGGAATTTATGCTAAAGATTTACACCAATAAAACCTCTCATGCTTTGTTTTATTACCAAAATAAATAGAAACCGGAAACTATTTACATATCAATTACAGCTTGTATGTCTATTGGCAGTAAGAAAACACAGCGTTGAAATAATTATCCTCATCGCAAAGAGTTTTCCTGAGAATTCCATCAAAAGCTCTTCGCTTAATCACATCTTCCATGAATCCTCTATGCTCTATGAAGTAGGTAGCTGTGTTTATTCAGTGTATTATTAGTTACAACAAATGCAAATAGTAACTCAATTTCTTATTTATTCTTACAATATTATCAATTCTATACCTATGATAGCGAGGTAATAGGTATTTTTATAATCAGGGTAGAGCCTGGATGCATTCATTCATTGTGGTAAACCTTGGGGGAGGCCTTTGTCCAGCAGTGGCCGACATTTGGCTGAAACGAACGAACGAACGAATTATTTCAGGATTTCATAATATTAATAATCCTATTGCTTATTCTATGACGTCTGGCCTGTCGATAACATGCGTCGCCCGCTACATCGTCACACGATCTAAATTAGATACGAAGCAATGTGGTACAGCCAAGGCAACAATTTTCATTTATAGAAATGCCGTAATTCTCATAACAGAAAAACATAAAAATATGAGGGTGTAGGTATACTCACCTAGGAGATTGGGTTTCGGCCTTCATCTTAGGGGCAGGTTTCAGACTTGATTGATTGCAGGTAGCTGTCCATTCCGCCTGATCTAGGTCGGACACGGCACGGGTATATTGAAACTCAAATACATTTTTTGATCAATCTTTAGTTATTTGTAACAATCCCCACACTGGCTGGGGTAGGTACTCATTGAATAAACGGGTTTTTCAGTTAAATTGTTATGAAGGTTGGTGGTTCTCTATAAATGCAAATAGAAGAGAGATAAAAATTGGCATAACTTTTTAAACCAGCAAGAAATGAAAAAGACGAAAATACAAAAGGAAGTTGTTCAATAAGAATACATAATCGTCAACATTTGTCATTTATTCGTAGTCCGTAGTTTCTCAGTAAATAAATATTGGGCCTAGAAGTAAACAGTTCCGCGACTTCTAGGTTTTAAGCCTGCTCATAGAAAATTGACGGCAGCATAAATCTCAATAAGGCCGTACAAGTTCCTATCACTGCCCTATTTGATAAGATCAATGTCGGCGCGAGGCTGCGGACACTCACGAAGCACTCAATACCATGGATTTATTACAATTTACATTGTACCGGCGAGCACAAAATAAAATCATAAATAAATGATTGAACGTCGGATTCTTGGTTTGTCTAAAAATATTTTATTTGAAGACACCACATTTTTTCGTATGAATTTCATACTGGGAAGGCCTCAAGAGAATTGGGATTAAATTGTAAGGATCTATCCTCACAACAAAGGGATTCACGTTCAATGGCCTTCTATAGAAGTTTGGTATACCAGGATGTAGGTGAAACCTGTAAGTAGGTACATACTTATTTTGTAATTTCTAAAGGTTTTTTGCGTTTAACTTGAAGAATTCAATATTTGAATTTAATGCTTTTCTCGTCGAATGTACCTACTCGGTTTAGCATACTGTTTATACGTATCGTGCATGACGGATTTATTGTTTATCCTACGCAGTTCATTAAGGAAGCTTCTGATTTGCAATATCTGTATGATATTGCAATACCACAAACCAAACCTACATACAACATAGTCGGGTCTACTTCGTCAATTGATTCCAGGGTATCGGATCGTGCCGTCCCTTTTACCCATGATTATTGTAAGGCTGAGTGAGAGAGAAAGGTAAACTTGAACGTATCGAAATAGTCATGCGTAGTAGAGCCTCCGATTTGCAATGACATACATAATTTATAGTGCTGACCCATTCACCTTTAATGTGTATACCCTATTGACTTCCAAATCGTGCAACTGTTAGATGGCACTGAGTAGAATCGCCAGTGATTCATTGATTTTATTAGCCAAAATAACATTAACCAAAAGCTTTTACGATTCCCAAATTAATTCGAAAATGTTAACTATTTAAATCATTTGTTAAAAACTGATTGGTGAAAAAGATTTCGTGGTTACGAGGGCAGTGTCTTGACAAGCATGGTTAATTAATATGAACTACAGGCCATGTTTATAGTGTAGGCTGCAGCAGGCAGGTACTATAAACTATTTATCTATCGAAATTGTGCTAAAATAGGTCATGATACAAAAAGTTTTCATAAATAAATGTACTTTCACCTGATGCCACCTAGTTGTTATAAATAATGTTTTTCTAAATTCAGCACTTTACTGCCAACTTTGTCTCGCACTCTGCTTCATAAATACACAGCCATGACAAATGATCATTCCCCGCGGGATATTTTCCAGACTTTTTGTTTAGTCCAAGTTTTTGACACTGCCATTGCTCACAGATGGCGTCTTTTGAATAACTAGGTTCGTAACAACATTAAACTAGACTTGTGACGTAGCTCTGATTGTTCAGTATTTTACGTAAGGCATAAATTGTCCGAAAAAGAACTCAGAAACAACCCCAATTTGTCTAAAACTCGTACATTAACTGCCAACACAAATTTAAAACGACCGCTTTACGGTGTGGTTGGCGAGTAAATGTGTATGACATTAAGTGGATGAATATGACTGAACTTCTGGTTTTTATTTATTACAGAGCCAGTAAACACGGGCGAAAGTCACGCATTTGCTTAATTCAACTTTATTGTACTCAAAGTGTTTGTCAAATGTTTCCACATCTACGGCAATAACAAGTATGAAAACACGATGTTAAAAACTATAGAAAAGGACGAGTATTGAGTACATTAGCTACTTTAATCCTAAACAAATGATATACTCGTAATATATAAACTTACTTGGTATCTACTTCAGAAGAAATTCTTCGTGTAGTATCCATGACGTGTTATTATTTGAAAAATCTATCCACTGCCACGCCTGATCGTCTTAATTTCACTTTCACATGGACCTATTGAGTCTAGAAGTTTTGATTTAAAATAAAATCACTAATTAATAATTTCTCACTTTTTAAAAATTAAGCTGCGCGAAATTGACAGCTTTTTTTTAATATAGGTAACGTTTTACGGCTCTGGGCGCAAGTGCTCAACCACAGTACCTCTAGTAAGAAAAACTTTCGAGTTCGTTTCGTTGCGTATTCAAAGTGTCATCGAAAAATTTTGTATGAAAAATTAAACAGCGCCCCCTAGGGCGGCTATAATATAGGGGGCGCTGTTTAATTTTTCATACAAAATTTTTCGATGACACTTTGAATACGCAACGAAACGAACTCGAAAGTTTTTCCTACTAGAGGTACAGATTATATCAACAGAAAAAAAAAGATGTAGATGTATGTAATAAGAACGCGCGTCACTGACCGCGAATTGACGCGTAATTCAAAATTCGAACTTCGACTTTAGTTGAGCGTTCCAAATTCAAATGGTTGCTTTTTTATTTGCATTGACATTATGCCAAACAGCCTAGACCAAATGGATGTTTTGATTAAAATAGTGAGAAACTTTTTATAGTGGCAGTAACAGTAGGCACGAATAAATTATTGTGACAGCTGTTTGCCTACTAATGTCCGCAGCTCAGTAAATAATCCAGAAAGTCACGTAAGACATAATATTCTTGAAATAAAAGACCTTTCTTACACAAAACATTAAACTTTATTACATTTCAATTGCAATTAAAAATAAAGTGGGTGCACGGGCAGCACGTGCGGGTGGTGGTACAACGTGCTGACGTGCGAGACGACGGGCGCGTGCACGAGCGGCGCGGAAACCACGGGCGGGTGGTACACGCTGGACACGTGCGGATACACGACGATCGGCTTCGGCGCGGGCGCTGCCGCCGCCATGGCCAGCAGAGAGAGCAAGATTACCTGGAAGAGAACAATAGCGTTTATTAAAAACATTAGGATATTAGTGTTTACCCAATGCACCCAAAGGGCGATGGAGCGGGCTATGCTCGGAGTTTCCCTGCGTGATCGAATCAGAAATGAATTGCTAAAATCAAGTGGCAGTGGGCGGGGCACATAGCTCGTAGAGACGATGGCCGTTGGGGCAGGAAAGTTCTCGAGTGGCGACCACAGGCTGGAAGACGTAGCGTGGGCAGGCCTCCTACTAGGTGGACCGACGATCTGGTAAAGGTCGCGGGAAGAGCCTGGATGCGGGCAGCGCAGGACCGTTCATTGTGGAAAACCTTGGGGGAGGCCTTTGTCCAGCAGTGGACGTCATTTGGCTGGCTGAAACGAGATTAGTGTTTAAGATTTTTATGTCGTTCCTACCTATTTTTGGAACTATATAGCACTGTGTATCACCACCATCAGGTCATTTTTAGTATCCGAAGGCGTTGATTCGTTCGTTCGTTTCAGCCAAATGACGTACACTGCTGGACAAAGGCCTCCCCCAAGGTTTTCCACAATGAACGGTCCGCTGCCCGCATCCAGGCTCTTCCCGCGACGTTTACCAGATCGTCGGTCCACCTAGTAGGAGGCCTGCTCACACTGTTGTTGATTTTATTATTGCTCTTTTTATTTAAAAGTTCTCGAATGACCACAACAGACCGGTTCTCCAGATCAGATGCGGTGTGGGCAGGCCTCACTTGATGGACCGACGATCTAGAAAAAACGTGGGAAGCACCTGGATGCGGGTAGAGCATGACCGATCGCTGTGAATCCTTGATCCTTTTTTTTAATGTCTGGAAAGCACCTGGATGCGGGTAGAGCATGACCGATCGCTGTGAATCCTTGAACATTTTTTTTAATGTCTGGAAAGCGGTGTTGGCAGGCCTCACTTGATGGACCGACGATCTAGCAAAGGGAAGCCCCTGGATACGGGCAGAGCATGACCAGTCGCAGTGAAAGTCCTTGATGGTTAACTTTACAATTTGTTTAACGCCTGGAAATAGAACCCACAACTTATCCAGTTTAAGAAAGTCCAACTCTCTAGTGATTAATCAAGGATGTTTGCTATCAAAAGCTATATCCGTCTAATCTAATGACCCTGGCTAGAAGGCCTCAGAAGCCTAGGCTCTGAAGTTTTGTTAGGTTTACAAGTTTACAACCCAAATTGCAGAATATCTACCATTTAAGTACCTACTTGTTCTCTCTCAAACACTATTCCAAATAGATTTGTTAAAAAGATTTATATTTTATTAATTCAGGTTATATTTTTATCAGGATTATGAAATTAAAAAAACTGTAATTATTATGCTACTGCTATCATATCATTACAACAAGTTTATAAGTTCAACAAGTAGCTACAAATACAATAACACGTACAAATCAGCTATTCATCACGTTCGTCCGTCGTCCGTCTTAAGTTATGCAAAGTTTTATCAAAAATATTGACGGATCCAAAGCTTTGTTGAAAAGATTCAATGATAAGCCTTGTGACCCAATAACCTCTGTGCCTGATTGGGTCCCCGGGGACAGTAAAAACTTATTGGGGCAATATTTGCTCTAGCAGGAGCCTAATTAGTAGGTCGGACCGCACGAGTGTAGAAAAACTGAACAGCCAAATCATTTTAAATGGTTGCACAAAAGATTTATTTTACCAGATTGTATTTGAAGGCAATGTTAATTAAGTAAAAAAATTTGAGTTATGTCTAAGACTGACTACTAGTAAATTATTGTGATCATCCTAACATTTTATGAGTCATAGGCACCAACCGTAGTTTCTGTTCGGGTTTTCGGAAACCACATTAGTTGTTACAACAATAAAAACAATCCGCCTTGTTCTTGTTATTAAATATTTGATTATAATTGAGTTGTAATAATAAATCATTAAGTCTGCTTGATGAAGGCGGAATCTGTTGCATTTATTTATAAGTAAGGAAACGAAATAGGAAAAAAGGAGATCGGCTTAAGAATAGCCTTACTACATCGACCTAATTATATGGACCACATCCGTGTAAGATCTGCTTTCAGAGTCAATTCTGAGTTATTAAACCGAGCCATGAATTATTATGGGCAATGATAGATCGGGGTTAATAATGTGTAAACAATGAAGTTATGCCTTTATCTCAAGTATTCTTAGGCTGGGTTGCACCATCTTACTTTAACTTTGACAAACGTCAAAAATCTGTCAAACTCCATACAAAAAGCACCGGTTATCGTTATACTTACGGTCAAAATTAGGCGGTGCGACTCAGCCTTAGGCCCAGTTTTTTGATTCATAGTTAAAATAACAAATTGTTAAATTTTGCTACTAATGGTTAAATATTAACAAAATGTTAACTCATAGTTAAAAATGTACTAAAAGTCTAGCTAACCATTGTTCGAAATACATTTAGTTTACATTTTGTTAATATTTAACCATTAGTAGCAAAATTTAACAATTAGTTATTTTAACTACGAATCAAAAAACCGGGCCTTAGTGTATTCGGAATATGATCTAAGCATGTTAAGATTGTTAAAGATCTTTTTTCTAATTAGGAAGATACTATTCCTATTATAAGGAAGTTAGATTTCTGTAATAAAAATTCGCGCGAAACAAGTTCAAAGGGACTAATGCTAAGTGTCATTAACGTGTAAGTAGATAGAACACGTGCCAACTTCAAAATGTTAGGGGAATATAATATTATGATGTAATTAAGAGATTAGAGAGATTTTAGAGAATCATGTAGGAAATTTTGGCAAAATCAATCGTGTCCCGCTGGGAAGGGCATGTGCTAGGTATTTACCACAGCCATTTTGTGACCTTTGGGACTCATTAACGTTATCCTTCAATATGAGCCCATTTTAATTGATTTAGAGTTATGTAAAGGTCAATCGTAATATTTCTGTTTGTACTATATTTTCATAATTAACCCTGAAATAAATGAGATTTGGAAGACTAAGACTTATGATTGGTATCAATAAAATATAAGTAGAATACTTCTTTTACAAAAGATCTTGAATTAGAATATGTCCAGTGTAAATAGCAATATGACATGGCATGATAGAGTATTATGATTTGCTTATGAGCTTATACAAAAGGCTTAAAAAGTTTCAGTTGACTACTAATATACATTTAATTGAGGCAATTAATTTCTTGAGAATAAAGCAAACAATGTTTTTACGAACAAAATTACTCCATCAAGTTTATTTATAAATTAAAGGAGTACGATTTTATAGACTTACCATTCGATGCATCTTCCTGCCTGAATGGATATCAGGATGGCGCCAATGACTGCAGTTGGCCGACTAAGTTTCCCGCCCAGGGCTCGCAAATATATAGCCACGCTGTGTATTCTGTTTCGTCCACTAACGCACAGCTATATACGGCCTGGAATTCGCATAGTCTGCCATTTAGGTACTAAATGTATTGGCTATAGTTACTAGAGGTTACAAAGTAATGCTTTAAAAATATCGGACGATTGCTCATCCGATCTATCGGTACTAACCGAATAAAATTCTTTAGTTGATTGACAGTATTTTTACTTGTATCTAAGTACATTCATAAGTTATGAGCTTTAGATACAAGTACTAGTTTAATTAAAGAGGCTGTACCACCGCTTCAATAAAATTCGAAGACATATTATTGTTGATGATGATCAATCATACAATGATAAGAATCGAGTTTTGAAAGGGAAAAACTCATTATATTTTAAAACTAGTAATTTAATCGATGCCACTTCTTGCCCGACAATCGATACATCGCGCATCGTTGCGAGTTCACCTAAAGAGCCGCAACAGGCGCTGACAGCCAAATATGTCGAGACCGGTCATCTTTACTCGAACTTATCTTGTTGGCACATCTTGACCACGTTAGTTACAACTCTTGTACAGTCAGTAACAATTATTGTTTGAATGAAAAATAATTATGCAATTATAATAGCATGTAGATATTTTATTTGTAACTCACTCATTGATTTTTATTACTACAACTTTATTTCTTTGGCTAAAATTGGCTGAAACGAACGAACGAACAACAACAGCCCGTAGACACTTTCTGTCAAAATCAAAATATTATTATCTTGTGAGCTGTTTGTAATATAAATCTTCCAACCATTGTACATCATAAGATAGGTATAATAGTACCATTTTGTACATGGACCTATAAAAAAAGGCGGACGGAACTCGGGCTACAACAAAACTGTGACGCAAAATTTTGGCGTTTGTCTATTGTGTGAGTGAATTTAGGGATGCCATGTTAGCCAAAACATTTTACCCATTTATTTTAAGAAAATCATAGATCGGCAGATGTTACTTGGAAATGTAGACAGAATTATTCCGTGCCATTTTAAAAGGATGAAAGGTGTATGCGTTGAGGTAGGCGCGAAATTTTCAATGTTCAAATTTTCTTACATTGTTTGCAAGTCAGTGTGTCAGGGTATGTACATAATGTGGATCAAAAATGATTCACGCAGTTACAAATTACGAATCTTGTGTACATTATAATCATAATCTTATGCATCATCAATATAATTATTAATTTCCCATATTTCGGGTAATTTTCCCACGTAAATAACTGAGAACACTGGTCTTTGACGTATTATTTTTTCGAGTGAATGACGTTTGATTTCAATTAATTTCAATATTTTAATGTCGGGAAATAAGTGATTGGATTATTATTTTGCCTGTGAAATGTGATTCCTTAATTTTTGTTTGTTCGAACAGAACGGTTTTTACACAATTTCATCACACAAGACATGTCGTATTCGTGTTGTTTTTTCGCTGCTTAAATGTGTCAACTGTGTGAAGTTTGCACTCGAAGTGGTGTAACAGGGTGTGAATGTGTGCGTGCCGGCCTGTACGTACAGGCAAGCTGGTGTATCCTAATGTCACAGTATTTTGTTGATGAGAATCCGTCCGACTTTTTTTATAGGTCCATGATTTTGTATTTGAATTTGACGTATTCAACTGTACTAATATTTTATGGCCATTAAATTGAATTTATTTGCATTTTATGACTTAACTTAGAATGTAAATGGGTATTTAAAGACGTTAAGTACAAAATCTAGTGGTAATTAAAGTAAATAAATTAAGCAAAATTATAATATTAACGCTAAGATTTATTGAACCGTACGCAACAATAACATACTTACTCTAGCCGCATATTAGAGAGAAATGTAGTTACAATTAATCATTTATTAAAGCAAGCTGTAATGAGTGAGATCAGTTAATAAACTTATTTTCATAGAAACAAAATTAGCTTTCTCGTAAAAGCCAGCTACATGAAATAAATGAATGGAATTACTTACCAAATCTCTGAAATGAGCTAAATCTTGCCCAATCCATTTCCCAAATGGAGCTACCTACCGATATCATTTCCCAGGTTGTCTGACCGCTCTAGATTCGATTTCGAGGAAAACTCTTCTATATTAGACTTGTAAGCACTAGATTTAATACGAAAAAGGCACTCTATGGCATTCTTTCTTCAGATGGCACAATAGTAAACCTTTTTTAGTTGGGTGAGTAAATAAAGTACCTACAGTAATTAATTTTACTTTTTTTAAAGTTATTTCAAAGTCAGTAAGAATTTCGTGTCAAAGAACCCCAAAAGTCAAGACAGGTCAGTCTGACCCCATTGGTCTTAGCTCCAGATCTTTATTATCTAGACATTAAACATTTGCATTTGTAATCAACAGTCTTTGTTTCATCTCCCTTTTTCAATGGTACAAAATCAAGTATTCCAAAATAGTAAAATGAGAGAGCAATTAAAATTTTACTCAGCACGTTCATCACAAAAAACTTTTTTAAACAGCAATTATTTTGAAGTTTTCCTCGATGATGTTCACACGACAGATACGCTTGTTATTTCTTGCCTGCGCTCGAGTACATGCGATGCAGCGATTATCATGCCAGGCGGTGTTCACATTCTCGCCCTAGAATCCGCCTGAGCCACGGCTGGGTTGTTCGGCCGGAAATTAAACCTTAATCATGATTATAATTAAGTACGTCATTAAGTTAAGTTAGCGTCAAAACATTACATTGAAGCGGGGTACCTGATTTGCTTTTGGCGCACGATAAAATATAATTTTCATTGTATAAACAAAGTATATTATTTTAGGAGAACTAAAGTTTGTTTCGAACGAAATTTAACATTTTCCAATGAATCAATTCAAATGATAGCAATTTGTAACTTTAATTGATTACTTGCTATTAAACTTTTAGGTCTTAAATGAAATAGAATTAAAATCTCTCGAACCATTTATCGATAAAAGACAGTAAGAAAACTCAGGGCCTATTTAAATTTAACGATGATAGACTGATTTCTCTAACGAAAAACAAGCTAAGTTGTATCTAGGCTAGGCTAGAATAAAAAATAAAACGAAGTAATTGGTGGTAATAATATAATTTAGTTATTTATTCTAAGATGAAATCAGTGGTGGACGGCGACGAGCGGGACAGCCTTGACGACTGAGCCGTGGTGCACGACGGAGCTGCTGTGAGCCACAGCCACGGGGGCGGTCTTCACGACCAGGGGGGCGGCGTGGACCACTGGGGCAGCGTGGACCACTGGGGCGGCGTGGACGGTGTGGACTACTGGGGCAGAGTGGACGGTGTGGACGACTGGGGCGGCGTGAACAACGGGAGCCACAACATGAGCGGTCTTGACCACGACAGGGGCAGCGTGGACAGCGTGGACCACAGGAGTGCCGTGGTTGACGACCTGGCTGCTCTTGGTGATGGTGGTCTTGGAGCCCACCACGGGGACGGCGGCGTGGACCACGGGGGCGGAGTGGACCGCTACCACGGGCTGGTGCGCCACGAGGAGGCCGGGGGCGGCGGCGGCGCAAGCCAGGAGGGCGGCGAAAGCTACCTGTTAACGAGAAAAGGATGGTTACAATTTTATTAAAGAGCAAAGTGATTTAAAAATACAAAAATATTTAATAAGTTAAGTTGGATTCTTGGACCTAATTATTTCAACTATCGCTGCCGTGCTGCTTCGTAATGTGGCCTCAGTCAGATGTCAGAGTAAAAAAGAAGTAACGATCTTGAAGTAAATATCAGACTACCAATTACTCACAAATTTTTGATATAATAAGATTAGAAAACACCTAACAACAAATATTTATTTACCCAATAAAAGTCACTCTCATATTTCAACGAAAAGAATTCCACATTTTGTGATTGTAAGTAACCAGATACTGCTATATCGCTGTTTCATCAAACATTCTACCGATAACTTGTTGGGACATCTCACTCAAATAATCATCACATTTTTTGTAACTTTTTATAAATTTGATGTCAAAGATAATTTAGGAAAAACACGGTATGAAAAAGAATACTTGGCTTCCATACTAGTCCCGTTGGATGAAATTTTTCCTAATGATACTTAATCGAAACAAACAAAAGCTAGTTATTGGAAAAGCACAACAAACGTTTGTGATCAACCTACGAGCCGACCAAAATTTGTTATACCAAGAACAGTGCTATGGCACTTTGTCTACAGCCTCCAACGGCTTTTAATGATTTTAAAGTCCAATTCGATTAATATAGGTCCTTATCTTATTAAAGTTATACGAAAATTTTAAAAAACACATTGAACTTTTTTCGAACAACACTTACAAAGGTCTGCATGGTTGTTTATATGTTGTTGTCGACGCGGTGGTGCGAAGTTATCTAACGACCTGAAGCCTCCTCGGGTATTTATATTGGCGACCGCCGAAATACTACAATACGCACGCAATATTGTACTTGAATTCTGTATAAATTACGGGAGGTATGAAGGAGCTTGCGTGGAGGCGGCATTCAACGTCCGCAACAGTTCGGAGGTTACGCCGCTCACTGCGGAGTTTAACGTAAACAAGAAGTACGGAAGGTAAAGCTTCCATGAGGAGTGTTTAAGATTCAAATGTCGTTTGGTTGGCGGCACTAATATAAACATCCCATGAAAGCTCGTATTTTTATACACATTATCTATATATGTAAATGCGAAAGTAACTCTGTCTGTCTGTCTGTCTGTCTGTCTGTCTGTCTGTCTGTCTGTCTGTCTGTTACGCTTTCCCGCTTAAACCTCGCAACCGATTTTGATGAAATTTGGCATAGAGATAGTTTGAGTCCCGGGAAAGAACATAGGATAGTTTTTATCCCGGTTTTTGAAACAGGGACGCGCGCGATAAAGTTTTTCTGTGACAGACAAAATTCCACGCGGGCGAAGCCGCGGGCGGAAAGCTAGTATTATGTACTTGGTACCAGTTAAATGTTTATTAAAATCTTAAAATTCCAAAAACATTGTATATCTAGAGTTCGATTGCGCCTTCTAAGGTATTTGACGTAATTAGTAGATTTTTTATTGTCATCTGGTAGAAATAACATAAATTCAATACTTAGCCATATATTGGTCTTTTTCTTTTAGCAACCAAATTTCAATCAACCTACTACTAGGTAACTCTGCTCAAGTGCCGCATCCTCGAAGCTTTCACTTGCTTCGTACCTCGCTCCTTCGGCATTCATACACCGATTAATGAATGCATAAGCAGCCAAACGGGCCCGCTCGAATGTAGGTTGATGCCAAGTTCAGTCGGTCCTGCTCTTACATAACGAGATGTACTGGCAGGCCTGGTTGTCCATTCATGTTTGGGGACTGTTTTAATTGAATATGATTGGGAAACAAACGAGAGCTGAAGGATGATGATGTACTTTAAATCGGCGAGTTTGAGACGCTAATTGAGAATTTTGGGTATAAACTTCAATAAGACAGTAAAAAGAAAGAAAGAAATAAAGCTTTCATTTAGAAAATGAAAAAGGGCCGTAAAATTCTAATTATAATAGGTACTAAAGCATTGATCAGAGGGATTTTCTAGATACTTGCTTAAAAACACTGCATATTTTCATCAATCAAACTGAGCTGATATAATAAGGCAAAAAAGCTTTGTGGGTCATGTACTCGTATGTGACGAACGGTGTCAGCAGAGCAGTGTCAATATTGTTCTCTGGGGCACTATAAAGGAATTTATCTTAAACGCCCATAAAATATTTCTTATAACTGTATCAATATGGCAATGACAAGATAAGTGTTAAGATAACTCAATCAACGTGTCGATAAAATTGTGCCAAAAGGAACATTCATATTTATTATGAACACGACATAATTCTCTCGACAATATCTTAATTTACACGAATTTTATTGCATTTACGTGAATGCTCTGGCAATAAAAACGTGTGGATTGAGCTGTTAAAGTCAAAACTTACAATTCATTGCGTTTCTTAAAAATTTTGCTTAAATTTTCTCGACGTACTCACTTATTTTGACCCCGTGTTTTGTTAAGAAATTAAATTTCAAGTGACACAATGTATCTCATTGCAATATTAAATTATGATTTGGTAAACATTTCGATCTCTTATAGGTGAAGAAAATCTGGAGGTTTAACTTTACATTTTAACTCAACTATCTGACATGGTAAATAACGTTCAATCTGTGAAATATGGATACTAAGAAAAAAATGTATTCCTGGAGAAATTAGCGTTAAGTACTTTTTTCAGCACTGACCCATTATAGTTTCGAAGCGATGCTAGGAATAAGCTTTATAAAAGTAACCCCATTAAAAATATCACAATAAATTATAATTTAGGGATTGTTCTAGTTATGCGTTGTTTGGCTTAGTCTTTCCATTAGTTAATAGCCATCGTTAGGTCATTTCTACACTACTACTACACGCCGTCTTGAGTGGCTCAAAATTGGACTAACTTGTCTAAAGAGCCTGTTGACCTAAAAAGGCGGCGGAGACGGCCTCAATTACTTGTGTATATGAAAAACATCCATTCAAAAAGAACAGGAGAGCTATTTGGTAAAGTTGATAGATATTCATATTCCTGAGAAAATAATTTGAAATAAATAGAACTTTATTAGGACTGTTGCTCTTGTAGTTGTAGTCATGTTACAAACTACTCAAACCACTTGAATTTTCGAAAAATTTAATAGACATAATGAATGCATTATGATATTCCGTAAAAATCACGACGTGCCAAAACTCTCAAGTTCCATTAAGAACCTTGACCATCGCATATCCTTCTAAATTCCAAAATTTTAGAATGAATAATGGTTTTACTATCAAAATATTGCAAACGTGTTAAGCACCAAGGTCCATAACAAGCGTGGTCATTAATTTTGACATAATAACATCTTGGCGCTAACACGCCTCCGAATGTCAAGTTCAAGCCTTGGGTCGTTCACATCGTAAAATACACATTATTAATGTTATCTAATGATTTAACCGCCCATCAGGCTATATACAGCAGCTACTGTTAGATATGTTTGTTAAACTTTGAAAGCTTAGTTACAAATTCGTACTTTAGAGTTCCGTATTACTATTGAAAAACTTAATTTTATGTAGGATTTTCCTCATGCTTCAAAACCACTGGATGATTTAATAGCGATGTGATGAAGATTTTTTCAAATTTCTTTAAAATTAAAAATCAAATCAACGGTGTTAATGGTCTAATCGTAGCCACATCTGCCCTTTGAGTCGGTACTAAATATCTAGTTTTCTCTTTAAAATTCTACATACTCATAATAGAAACAAACAATGTATAAAGTGCTCCTGAAATAAATACGCAAGCTCGCAACACCAGTAGCCTAATCAAATTGTTTACAAAAAAAACCATACTAATCATACTCAAACTTTATTAAGTTCAACCTTGGTTCATAAACCTTATTATTAGTTGTGTTGCAACGCCTCAGCATGCGATTTATCAATCAGATAAGAACTTTAACTTACATCTTTTTTGGGCGCCAAGGACGTTGTAAAACGAGCCATTGAGCAAGGATATTGTTGCAATGGTTACCGGCCTAACCATTGGTTTAAAAGTCAACAATAAGATAATGTATCTCATTGTTTAGTATCTTATACTTGCGGATTCGTTTTCGTGGGTTTCGATCTCGAGAATTGCTTCAACTATGTCGTCGAAAAACATACCAGAAAGTTCAAATTCCGTTGGAGGCATTATAAGTTCGAGAGCTTAGAGTCATAAACATTGAAATCAGGTATTTGAGTATGAGTGAATGTTTCCTTTCCAGGGTCTATACTTCGTATCATGTCAAAACCAATTTCACGTTGAATTTGATTCCTTGAAGTCACATTGAGTTAAACAGAAAATTGTAAATCCTGATATTTTCCATGTTGACAAACTCAAATGAACGTGCTCGACACTCCAGCTGGGTTCAACGTCCTGTGCAATTACTCACGCGTTTGCACATTAGAACCGAATTGTAGAGTCGTGAATGCGTTGTAAAACAAGCGCGTAATGTCCTTTAGAGCTTAAAGCTCTTACAGCCACTCTTTATAGACCACTCATCAGCGCGTTTTAATCAACCCACATGTTTTATAAAAATGAGAGGCAAAAATGCGTACCGGAAAACGGGTGGACCAACGACATCATAATGGTAGCAGGAAGGCGCTGGACACAGGCCGCTACCAACCGGGCTACAGGGTGAGATGATGATGATGATGATGAGGCTAGTATTTTATTAGCAAGATGTTGCTGGTAATTAAATAAAGGACCGAATACCCAAAGGACATTGTTCGTTCTCCATACATTGTTCGCCTAAGAACCAACAATTTTGACATATTACTACCCGAAAGCGAAATAATACGATTCTGTGTGTAAGAACAATGATTCCTGATGGACACTTGCCATAAAATTAATGATTAAGAATATTAAATCACAGCGATTTTATAATATGTCGTTTATGACAACNGCTGTGAGGTAGAAGTTACGGGACTATTCCCACCTCTCCTTTCCACCGCTGCATCTCCTGTGTAGCTAGCACCTAGACTAGTTGATTTAAAGCCAAGGTATATCAGTTTTTAGGTAATAACTTAGTGCATCTAAAAATGTAAAACTTTCTAGTTTTTTGTAACATTGAAAAATATAAAAAGAAGCATCATTTTTTTTACCAACTGTTTCTAAGAAATTTAAATGGAAGCTTTTGATGACAACGTATTGCTTACTTTTTCAGCTGTCGAACGAATCACTTTTATACTCATAGGTCCTGTACATCGGTAGATTTGGTAAATAAATGAATCTATCCGCATTCAGAAACTAAAAAAATTAAAATAGCTGTAATTTTTTAATACTGGATTTGTCGATTAAATTGATCATATTACTGCGCCCTAACGGGTCGGACACTGGTGACCAGACACACTGTACAATTATTATAATTTTAGCCTATCTCGTGAGCTAGGTGTCAATAATTAGGGTGATTTACTAACTAACCAGTCGCAATCGAACAACAGCAGTGAGATTCAAACAAGTTTGATCCATGATGCCGCACGACTATTGTGTGAGCCCACCCGTAACCTAAGCTTATTTAGCTTAACACAAGGGGCTGGACGGGACTATTAGTAATTTGTGCAATACAAAGTGCTTATAACCTCAAAAAAATCTTTTTATTGCTGTATTTAACCTTCCTTTCGTATACTAATTTATGCGTCAGTGTCAAGTCTGCGATTTTTATTCTTTGAAATTTTCTTAAAATGGCTGCCGCCGCAGTGAGCCTTGTAATTAACAAATTAAAATTAAATTAGTGTTTTAAAGTGCATAAATGTACAACTTAATGGTAAAAAGTCATTCCTTGATTTTTACTTAATAGGTATGTATCTGGAGTTATTTCAACAGTATTTTCGTCTATAGGATGGCATATTTAAAAAAACAAAACTGCACTCAAGCGTGTTGTCACAGCAACCGCTGAGCACATACTAATTGAATTTCGGTCCGTGGACCTATTTACGTGCCAGAAACAGTCTAGTTGACATGTCTTCTCTAGTACGTAGTACATTATAACTCAATGTTTATGACAACATGGCGTCTAATGTATTGTGTGAATGTATGAACACCGATTCGCGAAAAATGTTTCGTATTGTCGTCACGCCGAGTCGCAGCCAAATAGTATAAAATAATAGAACAAGTTTTAGAAATACAACTCGGCATTCCACTTTTATAATATGCCCACATATTGCACGTAAATAAACAACATGAATCGTAGGTTGTTTCCACCCTTGTCATCTGACACATGAAATAAACTCCTATTGTATTATAGATATCGAAGCCGAATCGTATATGATAATAGAATGGGTTTTGGAGATCACTCGGGCTTACACTTTTATGAAAAACCTACATAATGCATAAAAATAACACGAATCATGAGTTTTCTTTTCACCATTTACATCTGACACGAGATAACAAACTCCTATCTCCATGACTACCGTCGTAGTCTATGCCAAAGACTACAATATTTTAAGCAAGAAGTTTCAAACCTTAGCGGCTACGGTAACCCCTGGGCCACATACATCATGATAACATTCGGTCGACACCGGAACGAAGTCTTGCGATTATGCAAAAAAGCATCGTATTCTAGTGCGGCTATATCACGTTCAACCGGGGTTTTAATTCGACTAAAGTCCTGACTAAAGACTGGAAGAAAATACGCCGCATTGTATGAGCACTTCGTGTTCGTTAAAGCGGCTTCAGATCTAGAGCCCACATAGTTTTCTTTCCAATAATATCCGCAAGTAGCGCTGCATGATCTTTACAACAAAAACGGCAATAGTTATTAAGGTGCCAAAATTATATGATTACTTTGGCACGGTATTATACACGTTCGAAGATTTGTCATTTTCATTCATTTCATCATCATCATCATCATTTCAGCCACAGGACGTCCACTACTGAACATAGGCCTCCCCCAATGACTTCCACATCGCACGGTTGGTAGCGGCCTGCATCCAGCGCCTTCCCGCTACCTTTATCAGGTCGTCGGTCCACCTTGTGGTGGGTTGACATTGCAGAATATGACTTTTGATAGGTTCATCATAGAATTCGGCGGGGATATCCTCACGGAGGAAGTTCGTAAAAGGGCGGAACAAGATCTTATAATAATGCAAGGCCGAAGCTGTTACGCGCGTGCTCCTACGTGTAATCCGGCGAGTATGCAATAAATAGTAATGTCTGGTAAATAGTGGTAATACGTATCGTTCGTTCGTTCGTTTCAGCCGAAAAGACGTCCACTGCTGGACAAAGGCCTCCCCCAAGGATTTCCACGAAGACCGATCCTGCACCGCTCGCATACAGGCACCTCCCGCGACCTTCACCAGATCGTCGGTCCACCTAGTGGGAGGCCTGCCCACGCTACGTCTTTCGGCTCGTGGTCGCCACTCAAGAACTTTCCTGCCCCAGCGGCCATCAGCTCTACGAGCTATGTGCCCCGCCCCGTCTATGTCTGTATGCGCTACGATTACAGGGTATCATTTTGCATAGTCGCAAGACTTCACTCCGCTGCTGTCAAATCAATGTCGCATAATGTTATCGCAATGTGTGTGGCCCTTGGCCAAATCACAGAAGCCTATGCGAAGAAAGAGCACTTGAATGACAATAAAAATCAGGGTTACCATTTTATAAGATTTCCTCACTATTGAGGGTAACAAAGTAACATTAATAATCTAGCCATTAATTACATTTATTACCTATACGAGAAAGTAAAGCAACATGCGGTTTTATTTTAATTTGTAAAATATTAAACCCCTCATATTTGTAACAGTTTGTTCCAAGTTTAGTTTTACTGTTTTGTTAACAGTATTGCTGTTTCAGCTGTCACTGTGAAGCTTTGGGAAAATAAATAAATAGAAAAAATATTAACATAAATATTTATTTAAGTTTTTATGTTCATTATCATAATATGCCAATTTAAGTTACACTGTGTGACAGTCTTTGACACTAAACAAACTCTTCAGCTTAATAATACCTACCTACAGGGCGTTTTTATAGTTACTCTTGCTGATGAAACAAGAAGGGTTGATTCTACTACTGAAATACAACTACTTTTCTTACAGGACCAATATCAAATTCTCAAAAAAATTCACATCCTCGTGATGGTGATAATTTCTATGGAGAGGTTTTTTTTTTATTCGGTCTCTTGGGATAAGTTATTCCATTTGAGCAGTAGAATTAATCCTTTTTATTCGATCACATATAAAAACAACACAAGTGTTTAGGAAAACTTCTTCTTTGGTATGGTATCACTACGGAGTTATAATGTCGGCAACTCTGTATCACTGACTTGTAACTTTCAAACAGCATGAATAATAAGGGCACCACATTGGTTTTCTTTCTGAAAAAAGGCTTTCAGTTTTAGTACTAACCCTTTAGCACTATTTCATTGAAATAAAAATACAATAAACGCACAGAAGACTGAAATTGAGTCAACTGACGTGACATTTATAATTTGTTGACATTATGACAGTTTGACAAGACTAGGGATTGAAAAAGTTTTAATTGAAAAAGTAAAATGACAATTTATTAAAACGATTCACAAGGATATAATCGATTAAAAATATTTATAAAATGTTCTGATACTTGCCTGTAGCGATTATCCAATCCTGGTTTCTACTGAAAAACTACCTCGTGGCAAGATTTTAATAAAATAATAAAATCTTTATCTTCTCTTTCACAATCTATAAAAGTTCATTTGGTCTATTATTATACATGTGCTATGAATGAGGGTTTTCGCGATTGAAAAATCCGCGAGATGGCAATACGTAGACGCGAGGTCCAAATGCTGCATGATTGGTGGATATCTGTCAATGTCATGTCAAAAATAACCAATCATGCAGCATTTGGACCTCACGTCTACGTATTGCCATCTGGCGGATTTTTCAATCGCGAAAACCCTCATTGGCATAGATTATGAGAGACTGGCAACTATACTAGGTTGATATCAGGTGATCCGTCTGCTCATTTGCCTCCTGTCACATAAAAAAAAAATATATATGTTTCTCACACTTCAACTGGCATTGGATTCAACATCGGATTCTGACACTTTTACAGTTATGATACCATGAATATCAGTTTATGGTCCTAATTATTTTTATTTTATTTACGACCTTCGACCAGTTGGACACTTTAGATAGCTTCTTGTAATAGTGTCAATATCTTTTTAGCTTTTAACGCAAATCTAGTCTTCAAAGCAGTTTAATCGATTTATTTTATTTTCAAAATCGATATTTTATTGTCTATGATGGCCGCAGGAACATCACTATACATGGACTCCCAGCAATAAAGTACGGTAATGCCTCGTACAGATTTTATCGGCAAAAATTATGGAACTTGATAGGTTTTAGACCATGCCACGCACCAAAACGTCCGGAAGTTGTAATAGTATTATAGAATAAACGTTAAAAGACTTATTTATTTAATTTTTCAATGCTTAAGTGTCCATTAGAATGAAAGGGTGCTTAATGTATTAAAAAAAATAGAAAATAATTATGATGGGTTAATGTTTTTGGGCGGTTTTTAGGCGGTTTCTGACAATGTCCTTTCATGTCGAAAATTCTAGAATAAGGAAGCATCCAATTAGGTGTTGTCTTCAAAGTTGAACACTAATTTCTATGTAAAGCTCAAATTAGCTACTATTAAGTAAATGTACGAAGTTCCCACAAGTTTCAGTCCGATCACACGTTGCCACGAAATGATGCTCCTTAGGCACATTACCCTTTCAGGAAGTTAGATTGTAGTTACAATACTTACAAGAGGGATTAAGGCCTTGAGAAGAAAGTTGCTTGGGCTTTTTAGGAGAGAGCTTTGGACTTCCTGAAGCTTCTGAGCAACATAATACTGAAATGTTTCGATAGATACAAAAATACGTTTAGTATATTGTACTTAAATGCATAAAATCTTGTGGGTGTCTCTAGTTTTTATCTGAAAATTGTCAGTATCTTACTAAATAGTAATCAATTCCGGCAGATTAAGATACCTACGAGTATATCATGTTCTCCATTAATGTAATAATATCTCGTGCTTAGTATATTAGCGGTGAATTACCTTTTGAAAGTTAAAAGGGTCGTGTTCAATTTGGTGCGAAATGGCCTAACGTTTTTATCGTGTATTTGAATATAAATTAATGGAGTGGGAGCTAAGCATTAGGGATGTGTTTTACACAGTGGTGTGCAACTATCGACATCGAGACTGAATTATTAAAAACCTTATCTAAACAAGGTCTAACAAGGTTGTTAGGTAATGTTTATTAGACAAAATTATATTTGATTATTTTTTCCATCAGTTTTTTATGTTATTCTATAACCAGTTACATAATGACAGTTATATTATATGGACAATTAATTTTGTCCTTAAAAATTATTTTACTTTTAATAAAATTCATTATTAGTAAAGCAAAATAAAATATGTGAAGAGCTAGTTTTAATTTCTTCTGGTTTTCAAGTCGATAATTTTTGTTAGCCCAACTATTACATAATACCATTAGCTTCATTCACATCCACGAGTGCTACGAGTAATAAAATCCAACAATAATCTACGTTTAAAATCCTCAAATTTTAACGTAGTAATCCTTCTACATTCAACAGACAGACAGCCTTAAGAATAGGCTGGTAATTGCTTTTAAGTGAAGCTTGTAAGTGCGTTGTGAAATTTTATTGTTCACTTATAATATCAAAGGTTTTTGTAATTGTTATGAGTTGTACGCTTGTTATACGTATTGCAGTTAGCGCTGCTAAATTACATGAAACAAATTACACAGTCAATAATCTTTATTTACATTACAAAAAATCATCAATACAATAAAAATAAATCAACAATCTTTAACAAACAAATCAGTGGTGGAAAGTGTACAGCGAGTAGGACTTGAGTACGGGCTCGGTCTCGTGCACAGTGGAGCTCTGGTGGGAGATAGCGGAGTCCCCGGTCTTGTAGGTGACCAGGGGGGCAGAGTGCACCAGTGTTGTGTGGACCACTGGGGCGGCATGCACCACTGGGGCGTGCACCACGACCGGGCTGTGCACGAATGTGGATCCGTGGTTGATGGAGTGGGTGTTCTTTGTTACTGTGAAACAAAGTGACATGGTCATTTTCTTGGTTCTCCGTGGCGTAAAGTTATTCGGATTTTATTTTTAGTTGCGGATTCGTAGCTTGAGTATAGTTAAAGATATTTTGATCTCATCTTATTATGTCATTCAATCGTTGATCTCAACATCAAAATACTGTCTGAGTATGCTCTTATTAAAACGCTAAATTAATTAATGAAACAAATAATGTAGCTACTTGAACACGAATGATCAAAGTAGGTATGTTTTAAAATACATTTAGAGAATAAAAAGGTATTGATTTATCTGATTTTAATTAAGTCGACTGAGGCAAAAGAATACTTAGAGAAAATGTAAAAGAAAATACAAATCTATCAGACACATTGTTAGGTAAATTAATTACAGAATAAGATACAAATCTAGTGTTTTTGGCTTACCAGTCGTCTTTTGGGCGTGCACAACAGGGATCTCATGTGTGTGTACCACCGGCACGTGCACAGTGGAGCCGTGGTTGACCACGTGGTCGCTCTTAGTCACGGTGGTCTTAGATGGCACCGACACATGGACCACGGGGGCGTGGACCACAGGGGTGGCGTGGACCACAGGGGTGGCGTGGACCACTGGGACCACAGGATGGTGCACGATGGTGCTCCCATGGTCGACCACCTGGCTACTGTGCGTGATGGTCGACTTCTGAGGCTCGTGGGTTAGAATGTACCCGGGGGCGGCGGCGGCCACAGCCAAAAGGGCGGTAAAGATGATCTGCGAATAAAAAAACTTGATTTATAAACGAAACATTATTGGATATATTTATTGGATACTAAAACTGCTAATCAAATGGTAAATCATTCATCAGAATTGGGAATTTAAATGTTTAAGACCCTTTATGAATCATAATAAGATGAACAAAACTTTATGATTGCAAAATTTGATCGTCTGTAACTTCGCAAAGCAAGACAATGAAAATTACATATTTTTCTTTTTGTAAAAAAATATATTATGTGCAGTAATTAAAAATCATTGGCATAGTGAAGGTCGGGGAAAGTGAAAGAAGGTTGGAAGGGCTTTGTCCTGCAGTGGATACAACGGGTTCAAATAAATTATGGACGCACCAGGACTCTTTAAATAGGGAAAATTAATTAAAATTCATAGAGCTTTAAATAATACGCTACGCAATTATTATTGACTGTGACTGAGAAGACGTTACGGTTAATTTTCTTTTCAATTTCTAAGATTGCATAAATTGATTATAATTAATGTTCTTAATGTTCCCAATTATTGTTAAACTCACAAGTTTCTGCATTGTAATAATCGTTGTTGACGTCCTGTACTCAACTGATGATAAGTTAGACCGCTGCGAACTTTTTATATGCTTCAAAATAATCGATCGGCCCAGATTGCGACAATATTGGGCAGTGTACTTGAGGCTTTTCTTTTTTTGATAGTTTGCGAAATTTTTTTGCTAACTGCCTTTTTTCCTGTCAAAGATCTGTCACACGCGTGATTTGCATAATTTATGCGCGGTTAATGAGTGCTGTCTAATAATCACGTAATTATCTTGTCAGTTTTCGTTCGAGCTTTGATGGCGTTACTTTGGATTATTGCTTGCAGAAATTACGTCGTATTTGGAGTTGTTACTTTGATATAATATTTTCTTGATATTTTAATCTGTAGGCCTAAGATGCGCGCCGTGATAGGCGGTTATCACGCCATTTTATCGATTTTTCCCATACAAATTGACGTCGATAAAAATTATCACGGCGCGCATCTTAGGCCTACAGATCATCCGTGAATGCGTGAAGACAATATTCGGTTTTTGAATTATCAGTCATTTTATTAATAGTATTCGTCGGTTGTAAATGATAATAAGGACATAAAAAACAACGATTTTCTTCATATATTTTTTTCTCCCTACAAAGACATAGCAATTGCATTTATACAATATTTCGCAAATCTGTGCAACAATGGCCGATTATCTTATTAGAATAGATTATCTTGTACGATCAATATTGATAATAAATATCAAAGCGTATCGAAGGTCATAGAAAGCTCGGCGACTAAGCTTCCTTATCATTGTTTATCGCAATACTGTAAGTTCATTATACTCGTATCTGATGATTGCAAAAGCAAAAAAAACTATTATCATGATGGTGAAATTGATTTTTAAGTCTATTGGTATGTCATAAAATACTGTTGCAAGTTTTTAAAAATACTTTCATGAAAAATCAATTTAATAGAGAGAGATAAGTTAGGTGAAAAATACCTTTATTAACGCTTAATCAAAGTATTTTTGAATTAATCTTCTGGCTGATATCAGTTGTGTGTCACTCAAATAATTTAGTAGAACTTAAGTTTTATGTTATGATTGTTATAAAAATTATAGCGAATTTTAACAACTTATTGATCATCCAAGGAAAAAAATCAGTAAGTATAGCTCCATTAACATTTGACATTTCGTATCTAGTCCGTATTGTATTTCTTCTCTTCCTATTTCCAGCAATCTTGAATATTTTTGTATTTTTGTAGCAATCTATTTTCACGTGTGTAGAGAGAGAACCCTCCGAAGCAGTTTTTTCTCCCAAATGGGCCGTAACGAGGTCATTGTGAGCTCGGTGCGTTCGCGACAACTTTGTGTTTATTTCCTAAGCACGCCTCAACCGTCAGGACTTGATGACGTCATTGTGCTTGTAACAAGAACATTGTAGTACTTTGGCAAAAAAAGATTCTAATGGTGTACATAAAAAATAAAGCTATTTCATTGACAAAAAATTTAATACTGAGAAAAATTTAAATATTTACTTGAATATTTAAACTAACCACGACGAAACAAATTAGATTTAAGTAAACCTATTTTACGTTAGTTCATAATAATTGGGATGATCAAAAAGTAATCTCTTTAAAATCTGAATCACGTAATCTTAAGAAATTTTCCATATTTAAATGTTAAATATCGCAAAAGTGGTTTAAAGTTTGCACGAAATTTTAAATTCGTTAAAGTTTTTCAGAAGGTAATGGAATATTTTGTCAAGACTGTTGGTCACAGTGCCTACTTATTTTTCATGTTATTAAACTGTGCAATTAAGATAAAAACTTTTCGCTTATTTACGTGGATGAAATATTGTTTCTTCAATAAGTAATACTTAGGTTTTTTTCTAAGTAACTAAACGTCACTTGCGTTTTTTAATAAACAGTATCGTAACTACATACCAATTTTTACCTGCCTATCCTATATTTATTTAATTTCAAAATATTTTTCAGATTTCTAAAAAAGGTTCAAGATACAATCTTACAAACCAGTAAATCGTATTTCTATTTTTAAGCCCTCTTAACAGGACCTTACTTGCGCCTGAATGATTAGGGAATTATTTTAATTGTATCCTTTACTGGAAATAGACCAGAGAAAGTGTTTGATCGGAGAGAGTGAATCCACTCACGAGTGCCTCCATTAAGGGACGACTAGTGTCATCAAAGTGTTGATCACCCAAAAGTTTAATGACAGATCGTATCGAATCTTTGTTTTCGTTCTCTTGGTGTTCGGATTAAATTACTTATTTGAACTTTTATTTCACCACGTTCATTTTAAAATTAATAGTAAGTCTAACATTAGTTTATTTATCCTCGGCTATTTCAGATAAGACGTTTTGAGCCGAACGTTAGTCGTCCGTATGACAACTGCTTTGGAAAAAACATGCAATGAAAAACCAACAGGTAGGTAATGTACGGTCCTGCAAACATAAAAGTGACCTCCTACTCAAAAGGTCTAATTTGAAAGAGCCCTTTGGGTAAACCTTCTTTTATTTATTTTTTATAAATGCCAAACAAAAACCGGTTCTCTGATGGCTAGTAGTTCCGTCCGGCTGTAAACAAGTAAACAAGCTCAATAACTTGTTATATTGTTGAAGTCCATCAACTGGTTGTCATTCCGCTCCTTTTGGACTTGATTCTTTAGGCGCCCAATCAGTGTTATTATTTAGGGGTCTTTAGTAACAACTGCGAAACGATTTAGTATCATTTAATAGATTTATTATCGTATGCATCTAATTTTAGAAGACATTTTGGTGTAAATCGATTTTGTTACGTAATAATATGTACTTTAGTAACAGGAAAATTACTAAAGTACATATTATTATGTAACAAAATCGATACCGATGCTTCTCCGCAGCAGAACATACTTGAGCAGTCTTTTCAATATGTAGAGAACCCTCGTGAATGAAACTGTCAGCTCTTTAAATATTTTTATGGCACTTTGCACTAAAGTCCCTCATTCTTTTATTTTGAATTGCCCATTTTAATGGAATAAAGTTTTATTCGTTTAAGCAACACATGTTTGCTGCAATTTCTCAATTTAAAATTGCCTCCGCTAACCATTTTTTTGTCCACATTCCCTGGACTTCTCATTTGGCGACTATTATAAGGCAAATTATTACATTAACTCATTTATTATACCTACCGCATGTGATTCAAGTGTTAATATCATTCTACTTTTGGCCGCAGTCTTGCACCAGGGCATTAAAAATGTAAATCGATAACTTTGTAATCGAGATTTTACAGCTGATATTTCTTGGATAAAGATTAATGACACATAATTAATTTAAAATGCACACGCTTGTCCACAATTAAACGTTTAAGTGTTACTTTAATTTATGACGCTTACATTCGGTGTGATATTCAGTTAACCTACTCTCGGTACATCATTTAAAGTAATGACACGTATTACACAGTTTAATATGGGTAATTTTACCGATTGAAGTGAAGATTCCAATTAAGCCTTTAGTTTCACTATTAACTTATCAGCGCCTGCTATAATAGGGTCTAGGTCTTTAATTACATAGGATCTACCATTAAATTAAGAGCTCTTAACTATGTCGGCTTCATAATAATACCTTAGGCCTTAGATGGTATTTGTGTAGGGTAGTTGTGATTTGTAACGGATTCCTAATCTAACTTTACATTAAATAGAATTTACCTAACAGATTAGTGAAATTAACAATGAAAATACTAGTACGTAAACAAAACTTTTTGAAAATAAAAAGTTAATCAATTTAACTTTATCTTGAAAAATGTTTTGACAAGTTCTTTTATAACTCTGCTATAATATCTTTAAGTAGATCTATGTCAACATCATTATTCCACTTTTGGAGCGATGTGGGTAAACTGTCACTCAAATTACATGAGCTGTCTGAAATAATTTAAAGTGCTCCACAAGACGGCCTCAGAGATCGATTAGCGCGGCCAGTTCGCATGCCACAACAAATAACGTTGCAAATAATGACACATCGGCACCGCATACAAACACGTACCTGCTCTTTAAATCTAAACCTTACGGGTAATAAAATAAAGGACTGTAATATATAGATCGGATACAGTGGCTAAGGTTGACAGTTGTGTTTTACAACTATAATCATGTAATTACGCCATTTTGTTTTATGTCAATGTCAGCTGACAGAAAGTGGCGCCGGCGACAAACGTTGGGACGCGTGCATCCTGGAAGTACATGACAAGAGTTTTCCTGTCTAGAACAAGATACCAAGATACGTAATCAACGTTTTCCTTTTAATTTTTTTACAAGGCTATGTCCGTGACTCGTTTAAAACTTTTTTACTTGAAGCTTTCTCGCGCTTATTTTGTTTATAGAAATCAAACGTTATCTTAAATGACTGTAGATTCTTCGAACACAACTATTTAATTTTATGTATAAATTAAAATAGAGGGATCGAGTCCGTGGACATTGGAAAATTCCCTAAAAGCCAATTTTGACTAAGCAAAGAAAAGATCAGTTAACAAAATATTATACTTAGTAAAATTTCCATTATAAACACGACTCTACATTCAAAAACAAGGCGATGAAAGCCCGAATTTTTATCTTTATCACTAAATGAGTAAAAATTATAGGTTTCATGAATAATTGTAAATAATTGTCAACACTTACTTATAAATTGGGGCAGACTTCAATAACAAAGTGCTGCATTTATTTTATTGAGTAATGAAATATGAGAGATTAAATGTGGTTTCAAAAATAAGAGATGCGTTCTAAAGGGCAGGAGGGTGATTGCAGAATTATGCATGCACCCTGATGTTAAATGTCAATGCAATTGAGTGCTCGTTATTTCTGTTTTGATTAAGTGATGCTGTACTATCGATAGAGTTTACAATTGAGATTACAATACTCTTCGTGACAGAGTTAAATCAAACTACTTTTAAGCAACAATTTGATTGGATGTATTCTTAACACTTAACTTTTTCCCTTTGCTAACAATGTTTAAAATTTAGGAAATCATATCGATATTCATAGATAGCTGTAAAGGAACAGCACTAATTTTGACA